CAGGAAGAAGGGTGGAAGGTGGTACAGCTCTGTGACATCAATTCAACAGTGAGCTTCCTCCTGGGGCTGGAAGAGTGATGTTTTGGGGAGCCATCCTCCCCAACCCCAAGGGAATGGGAGGTGAATAACTTCCCTGCGGGAGGCTGCAGAGAAACAGGATCCTCAGAGAAGAGCCAACTTTTAGTTCTAGCAAGGAAGTCAAGTCGTCTACGAAATAGTAGGGCCATCTGTGAACGGAGTTCTGGGGCGCACAGTTAAAAGAGGTGTAGGGATCAAGAAGCTGGGAAAAATCAGGACCATTTTTCAGAACAACCAACCAATATAAAGGGATTGACTAAAAGATGTTGAGAGGCTTGGGGAGGTACCTTTCAATTTGTACCAGATGATTTGTATCTCTAGGGCCTAGGAGATGCTTGATAAATGTTTGTTAAATAATTTATTTCTGGTACTTTTTCACTCCATCCTGTTAATATATTATTGTTTATGACCTTAGTATCACATTTAATTCTACTGGACTTCATTCTGGTTTTGATGAGCCATTTCTTTCATTTACTAAAGAAAGGTTTATGGGATGCCTACTATACATCAATACTAGTTCAATTTTAGGGCAAAGATATGGTGACTATTCTTCGTGAGTCTTTGTAGAAAGAAGGCATATATAGATGGACATATGATGTTTACCTACATCATCTTGCTATGTGTTTGGGCATTACCATCTTTTTCTTTTATTAACATGAATAATCATGTTCTGTGTAGTACATCCTTCTCTCCTGGCCAAGTTAAGAGAGATCCTGTGTGTTGACTTCTGTGTTGCCAGACTCTGTATGTATTATATAAATTCTTTATGTAAAGGAAAGTGAGTTAGCAGAGTCTTGAAATTTAGTGAAGAGTAGAATTCAGCCTGCAATCTTTTTTAGACCTTGTCCAAGGAGTTTAGTTATTAAATGCTGAAAAGGATTTCATTTAAGGTTGTTGTACCTATAAGGGAGCCACATGACATGGTTCCATGTTAGTAAGATTTTTGTTTGTTTGTTTTTTCTAAAAAGATCCAGCCTCTTGGAGTTGAGTGTAAGTAAAGACATAGTTTTGGAAAGCAATCAGGAAAGTGCACAGGTTTCCTTAGAATCAAGCTTTTTTATAGCCCATTGCTCCCAGGAGCTTCCTTTTCCTGGCATTTATATGTGGAGAAGACATTGACTAATTAGAACTGGAAAGATGAATAGAGGTCAACTAATGCCTCAAATCTCAATCTCTTATGTACTTCCCACCATTTTTTTTTTAATCAAAGAGCTTGTGCTCCACTGTGACAGACAGAATAAACCACTTTTTCTGAGAAGGACACATGTGACTTTCAGAGGCATTAGGTGCTCTGTTAACATCTTGGTAACTGGGAAACCTGCATCCCTCCCAGACTGCGTCTGTGGACCCCTGGGGTAGGGCACAGGTGTGGTTCAGACTTGATTTTACGATTCCGGAAGCTGAAGTCTGGGAATAGCAGGTGACTTGTCTCATATCAAGTAGCAAGTTAGTACAGTTAAGAGGCGAGTCCAAGTCTCAGGAATACCAGCCCAGGCCTGTCCACTGAGCCACACCAGCATCTGCTGTCTGAGCGTCTGCCGGCTCACCCTCCTGGCCTGCGTTCAGCACCTGCTCCATCTGAGTTTGTGTGGGTTGACTCAGCTTTTTCTGTCATCCCTGCTTTTAGTCTTCAGGTCTCATCTCTGACCCTCTGCTCCCGCTCTCCTGTCCCTCACGTACCAGGAAACGCTCCCCCCGTCTCTACCAGCGCCCATCATGGCCTGCATGTAGAACCAGGCTCCAGGACCACTTCCCCAGGTGGTATTTTCAGGGCTGCTCCCTACTTCTTTGGCTAAAGAAAGGGCAATTCAGTTCCCCCAGAGACTATTCATACACGTCCAGTGGTCCTTTAGGGATGCCCAGCCGGTCTCCTCTAAGAAGCCTTCCGCCATCACCCCTTCTCCAGCCTTCCCCACAGTCTCTCGGCTTTCCTGTCGTTGACTTCTGCAATCCTTGCAGTGTTCTCTTTTCTGTCCTTGAAAATGTCCTCGCAGCCAGGTCGACTGTGCTCCCTTCTGAGTGAAGCAGTCAGGTCTGCTGTGGCCTCTGCTGTCTTCCCTCAGAGCACCCTGTTTCTGCCTCCTTGGGCCCCCAGGTCCTGATCTGTTGTCGTAGTTTGTTTGTTTTTTATTTTGACTTTGGAAGAAATGTTTCTAAACGTCATAGGGGCAGCCCACAACCAGAATCTCCCTTTATGCTTTCACCTTCTTTCCTCGACTTAGGATTCCGGTACTCCACACGAAAGTATCAAGTATGCACAACTCAAATTGTATTTTCAGTCTTGTAATTTTCAGAGGTGTAAGGCCTAGAACTATGAAACTAAGGTCATGACAAAGCAGACTTGCTCTTAGAAAGTTCCAGAATCCTTGTGACTTTATTTTTCCCCCGAAAGACAGCACTTTATCATAGAATTTAATCTCCAGAGCAGAGGTGGAACCTTTGAAAAGCGAGTCTCTCTCCTGCTGTGATGTGCCAGGGTTCATGCGGAGAAATAAGCTGGCACTGACGCAGGGAGCCGGCAGTGTGCCTGCCTCTGTCTGGCCCGGCTGGTGCGGCTCTGGCCAGGGAGGCGGGAAGGAGGGGAGTGGCAGCCGCTAGCCAGTGCCAGCTAAGTAAGATCAGTGTGCTGCAGCCCTTCATGCATGTGCGACTTCCCTGATCTAGAAGATTGAGGATAAAAACCCCGCAGGAAAGAAACTGCTTCTTGCCCAAATTGTGCTGTTAACTAGCCAGGAAAGTATGTGGTTGGATGCTGAAACCAGCACCACTTTTGCCTATATGTTCATCTTTCAGAATTCCTCCGGGAGCTCTTCCAGACACACCCTGTTCCATAGACATCTTGAGAAAGTTGTAAATTTTGCTAACTGTGCATTATTTAAATCGTGCTTGGTCATTCATTCTCATAAAATCTGGAAGATGATTTATTGTTTTTGTATTATAATTTTCACAGGTGTTTGAAGTAAAAAGAGTTTTATTGCAAATTAAAATATTTTTCCTCTCAAGCATGTGCCAACACATAGCAGTATTGTAAATTTGGAAATCTGTGTTATTTCTGTGTTCACTTGTTCGATATTAAAGATAGAATTAATATTTCTATTATTTTAAAAATTGAAGATACTTATTTCAAAGCAGTATATAAAAGTTCCCTTATATTCAGTAATGTATTCATATATTAATTAGCTAAATATCTAACTAGACAACACAAAATGCCTAGATTCACTGTGCGGTTATCAGTGCTACAGAGAAATCTGGCTAATACAACGCTAACTGCATTAAAACATCATTACATTAAATGTGCTACATTTATTTGCAGGAGCTGTTCTTTTCCTAAGAGAGACTTTCTGTGGGCCTTTTTTTTCCCCTCATAGTTCCCATTTCAAGCAGTTAGTACAGTGACTATATGAGTGTGTATACGTACCCTGGCATAAGACTTTTATTTTAACACTCAGTTTAAAAAAAAATCCACTTCTCTTAATCTTTGCGAGTATACTAGCTGATGTACAATTTAAGAAGATGGTATGTTTGAAATAGCTCCTAATAGATATTGGCATCCTCTAACGTTATTATTTATAGAAAATATTTTATATCTGTATAATTTTAGAGTCATCTTTAAATAATATTTAAGTACCCCCAGTGCAGTAGATCAAAAAAAAAAAAAAATCTCCTGAGGGAAAAAAATCTAAACTTAAAAGTTTAGAGGGGCTGGCCTGCTGGCATAGTGGTTAAGTTCACGTGCTCTGCTTCAGTGGCCCAGGGTTCGTGGGTTCGGGTCCTGGGCGTGGACCTGCACACCACTCATCAAGCCATACTGTGGCGGCATCCCACATACAAAATAGAGGAGGATTGGCACAGATGTTAGCTCAGGGCCAATCTTCCTCACCCCCGAAAAAAAAAGTTCTAGAGATCTGTTGCATAACAGTGTGAATGTACTTCACTGAACTGTGCACTTAAAATTGATTAAGATGGTAAATTTTATGTTACGCATTTTTTTACCACAGTTGAAAAAAAAAAAAAAAGTCAATGTAGGTGAGGTGGGGTGTGAAACAACCTGTTCTGTTTTGCACACAGTTCCAAAGTAGAGATGGCAGTGGATTTGGTCTGGACAGGTCCAGGGTGGGGGTGGTCAGGATGAGGAATGGGGCTGGGGACAAGGCAGGGGGGCTGCACGTCCCCCTTCTGGTATGGTGCAGCCAGTACCTGGAGTGGGCAGGGAGCCCTGGACGTCAGTGGGCTAAGGCAGTTCCAGGGGCGTCTACCCTGTGAGTGGGGGCCCGAGAAAAACAGAGCCCTCCTCTCTTGCCACAAATGTTGCTCTACTCCTGCATTGTCATCTCTGAAGGTGATGTCTCCACCGTAGTGTCGTACTGGAGTGCATCCTCTGCCAGTGGTGCTGCTGCTGTGCCGACAGCCTATCCTCAGAAAGCTCTACATCTCAGCGAATACCACACATTCTTCCTGGTACCTGCCCCTGACTGCTGAGTGGTCGGTGAGCTGCCCCACCGGCTGCCACGTCCATCATAAGTGGGAGGCGGTTGCGGATCCAAGCAGAGGATTTTGCTTCGTAGTCTCATCCTTAGTGTTCTGCCTCAGCCTATTTTCTTATGACACCCTCACTCAGAAAACACTTCCAAAGAGGGAATTTAAAAAGTGTTCCAGGTGAAACCCACTCAGGAAACCTTTTTTATCATAAGAGAATTTGGCCAGAAGGAGTTTAAAATGAGATGTACCAGGAATATGATCGGTTTCTTCAGACCGTACCCAGTTTTCGCACCTTTAATTTTTATGAATCACTTAAGTTTCTAGAAGCCTGCATCTGGAATCAGTAATCTTTCCCATTTCCGAAGAAGGGGTGATTATTTTGGTAGTGGATTGTTTTTTCTTTTGCTAATTTACAGTGGTATCTTTGGTCCTGTTTCCATTAGGAGATGAAAGCATGGAAATTAAAAAGCAAATTACAGGAATGAGAAGATTACTGAATGACAGCACTGGGAGGATTTATCAGCGTGTGGGCAAGGAAGGAGAAAAATTAAAAGAAGAACCCCAGGATTTGGATTCCATCTGGCCTCAGCGTTTGAACTCCTCTGCTGAGGCCCCACAGAACCTCCACCCTTCTTCCCGTGGTGCGTGGAATGAGTTATCACCGCAAAGCGGGCAGTTCTCAGGGCAGTATGGCACCCGCTCCAGAACCTTCCAAAGTCAGCCCCACACCGCTGGGAGCTCCAACGGTATGGTCATTATCAGACATTCAGAATCCTTTCAAGAGGGTTGTCCGAATGTGTTTTATTTCTAAATATTCATTATGTTCTTTGAGTTCAATATATTAAACCCTCCCTTCATGACCTGCCTTAGCTGAATTATTTTAAAAGACAAGTTGAAGAGTGTAAAAAACCAGAACTGAGGATCAGGAAAGACTGGGGATTCTATATTAGAAGTGAGGATTTCTTTGTAGAGATTTTAGCCCTCTAAGAAGTTAAAGCTGTCATTTGCTGATATACAGATATTATTGTCACGGAAGACTGAACATTAGGGCAGAGAGAGCTCCCCTTTGTCCTTAAAAGCAGCTTCCTGGTCATACGGTGTATTATTAATACGTCCTCTTGCTTACTTCGCTTTTCTTCATTATCAGAAGAGTCATAGTTAAGGGAAGGCTGATAACCAAGCATCCCAAGTGGCACCTTCGCTTGAACCTCACATTCAAGCTACTGAACCAAACGATCCATATGTTATAACTTGCTTCATTAGGGTTGAAAACTATTCCTTTAAAGTAAAATTTCCTTAATTTAAATTCCTAATTGTTAAGAAAAAAATTGAATGGCAATCTTTTTTCAAAGCTTAAGGAAAAAAATTGATGATTTTTCCAATGATGTAAATTTTCCATCCAGTGACATGGGATGTTGCTTGTTCTGTAAATTACGTATAGATATGCAGATCTATTGTTTTCACAAAGAGAACAAGAAAAAACTAAGAATGCATTTTCAGTTTCTTTGAAAAGTTAAGGATTTTTTTTCCCATCCGTTAATCTTCAAGAAAAAGAGAACTGTCTTGATTTGCTTTTTTACACACAATTTGCAGTAACCAGTTCAGATGCATGAAAAGCCATCCTCACACACTGCTGATGAGACAGTGAGGCACCCCAAGAGATGGATGGGTGCCTTCTCTTTCTATCAGTATTACATAAACCAATATCAAATTCACCGGCTGGCATGCTTCCAGGTTAGAAGGAGATGGCTCTTTAAAGACTCTCCATAAAAATAAAAAGTCAGTTCTCTTTAAAATTAGAAAATGATTTATAACAAGCTGAAAAGGGTTGGTTTTGTCCTCTAAAAATGGTAAAGATAGACTTAGGATAGTGACTAGGAATATTCTATAAGGCCCTCCTAATTCTACTGCCATGGAAGAAATGATAAGAGAAATAAAATACCCTTAGGTACGTATGAAGTTAGTAAACCCCACATTAGTAAGTTTTAGATAAACAGAGTTCTGTTTTCCACTACACAACAAGGATGGTAGATTTACTTTGGAAAATGTTATTAATGTTAAAAGTTATAAACATAAATTCCTCCCTATTCATTTGAAAATAGATCTTTTTATGTTTATTGTTTGCATATTTTCAGTAGAAGTGCATTCTATATAACCGTGACTACTTTGGTATTTCATTGGAATTATTTGCAATTTCAAAGTTGTGACATCTTAGTTTGTTACAACTTTGAATGTAAATAATTGTGCTACTCCAAACATTAAGTTATCTTTAAGTATTTCATAGTTTTACTGTGGTGAATTTTTCTACAGTATTCCCAAATAATGCATATTGTAGGACTTAAATTACATTTAATTTATAATAAAAGATATAACTGGAGCAAAACCTCAGAACTTACCTTTTCTGCCTATGAAAAAACATAAGTGGTAGTGGTCTCTTATGGTGGTCCACATTACGGTAGTAAGTTGGATACTGATGTTAGCAGGAACTCCACTGAAAGACTGATTTTCCAAATTTTTTCCCTTTTATTCCAAGGACAGTAAGATATTTGCTTACATAGAAGGGAAACAGAATAATATAGTTTTATTAAGGAAAAAATATATTAAATTTAAACAGTGAAAGAGAGACTAAAATGAAATGTTAAGAAATGGGAATGGGGGGCCGGCCCCGTGGCTTAGCGATTGAGTGCGCATGCTCCGCTACTGGCGGCCCGGGTTCGGATCCTGGGTGTGCACCGACGCACCGCTTCTCGTGCCATGCTGAGGCGGCGTCCCACATACAGCAACTAGAAGGATGTGCGACTATGACATACAACTATGTACTCTGGCTTCGGGGAAAAAAAAAAGGAGGAGGATTGGCAATAGATGTTAGCTCAGAGCCGGTCTTCCTCAGCGAAAAGAGCTGGATTAGCACGGATGTCAGCTCAGGGCTGATCTTCCTCACAAAGAGAAAAAAGAAATGGGAATGGGAAAAGGATGTTGGAAGATCTCCTTTATTAAGTTGGAGAGAAAGCCAGCACCCCAACACCCTCTAACCCATCGAGTTCAATATATCCCACCATCTTTCCCCACCCCAAACACACCCCACCCAGAGAGTGTTCTAAAAGTTTAATGTGTTGACAGTTCTTAATTTTTGAAATAACATGCTTACTACCAGAACTATTTTTTAGTAGTTAGACACGTTTAATTCTTAATATGAGCTCTTATGACATACACAGCTACCAGTTTTTTTGTAAGGCTGTTCGCAGAGCTGTTTTTTTGGTGCAAAATAGCATGAGTGTGTTTCTAGTGAATTTTTGTGGTATTGTTACCTGAGATAACCTGGTGTGACAATAGGGAGGCCTGCTGTGATACTGCATTGTATGCCTGCGTTCAGGCAGCCTCCACCACCCTGTGAAGCAGCACGCACCTTACAGTATAGGAGCCTGGATAATTAGATAAAGTCAGATAAAGTCAGACCCCAAAATTTAGGTTGTGAAAATTATAGGTACATTTTCCTTAGGCACAGTTTCATAATAATTGCCCATGCTTCAAAATGCTGTCAAGATACCTTCTTTTTTTCCCTCTTTATAATTTTGTTGTTGTTGTGTGGAGTCTGTCATTTCTTTTCTTTCATGCTTAGGAGAACTTCCAGTGGTGAATTCATCAGTTGGCTCGAACTGCTGTACTTGTAACTGCCAGTCAACGTTGCAGGCCATTCTCCAAGAACTCAAGACCATGCGGAAATTAATGCAAATTCAAGCAGGTACAAAGATCAGGCCTCGGATCGAGTCCTCTGATTTTTAATGCATATCTGACATCTTCAGTTTATTGTGCTTTTGCTATTTAGTTCTTCCCACCTTGCTGCCTTGCTGTGCTTTTTCAAGTATCCATCTTCTCAGCTTTTTCTCCACCCCATGTTGCCTTTAGCAAATCTAACACATTTTTTGTTGCTAATAATATTGCTCATGTACTTATGTACCTGTGCTCCATGTACCTCACCCCCTGAACTCCTAGTACCTCACTCGTGTCAGTTAATTAAATTTTGAAACAGTTATACCTGAAGGTGGGCAGAGTTCTTCAGCTCATTTTCCTAATGTGAATCGGCAAGGAGGTTCACGTCAGGGTGACTCATCTTACCTCCTGAGGTGCTCGATTTGGGGGCTGCCTGTAGCTTGACAACCCCCACTTCTGCACAAGTCCCTCTAGGGGGCGGTGTGATAGTAGGGAAGCCATGCCTTGCTTTATGTGTGGAGGAGCCTTTAGGAGGTGCGGCTCCACTGGTGAAGATATTCAAGAGCTTAAGAGGACAAGAAATGTTGGACCTCAGGCTCTGCTTGTGGCTTTTCTCCCTAACATTCAGGACATAGAAGCTCAAAGACACCTCCTGTTTTGTCTTCTTATCTACGAGAGACATTTTTTGTTCTCACTCCTATTAGACAGTTGAAGAGCAGAAGAGCAGTGCGTTTGCAGCTTGGGGTCAGAGTCCCAGTTCCTCCTTGTACAGCTGTGTGACTTCTCTGAGCCTCAGATTTCTCATCTGTAACTGGAGTCTTAATATCTAACTCCTAGGGTTGTTTTCAAAGTAAAATGAGATAATAAATGTCAATGAGCTCTGTAAAGCATGATACGAAAATAAGCTATATCGTTAGTCTTGTTGTAAAGACCGAGAGCATTTCATAGAAGTCTGGAAGTCTAGGTCTTCATTATAGTGGCTGTGTTTTCTAATCTCCACAGTTACGGGAAGAAAACAACTTTTTTGTCACAGGTACAGAAAATAATAAATCATTTTATTAAGCCTTCCCTCTTGTCAGGGAAAACTGCCACTTGAGCAGGAAAATGGACAGGACAGCACAGTCGTGTATGACCAGCATTCCCACCCTTCATTATAAAGGTATTCAGGAAGGTCATCATTCAGAAATTGTAGTTGGTGCCATTTAGTGAATTCTAGTACAATTTTAATATTCAATAATGTGGTTTTGATATAAAAAGCTTAATACTTAGACATATCAGTCACCCAAGATCACATGCAAGTAAGGCTCTCTGAAAAGCAACATCTAATTTTATGTGCTAATTTTGGTTTTATCCCAAGGAAAAAAAATAAGCATTTCGGTCGGGCCAGTAAGCATTTAACTCACCTTGATAATCTGTGTTCTTATTAACCTGGCAAAGATTAAAGTCTCCTAAATAAGGAGCTCAGAGAGAAAGGTTACTTCATTATGTACAGATTCTTTTCTCGGAGGAAGAATTTGTTAGCACTTAAGAAAATATGCATATGAAATTGTAATGATTTATTTTGTTACTTAAGCTCCTTACTACCGAAATGGCAAACTACAAATTGCAACCACTTAAATCCTTGACTGCAGCCTTTCTAGAATCTATTAAGTAAATGCCACTTTGTCACCATGTTTTCCTTTCCAAACCTTTGCAGATTAGGGTAGTAAATGATTCCAAAGCTATAGGAGAGCAGAAAGGATAAACTGAATAAATTACTCTTCTTTAATTTTCTTAAACTTAAGAATTTGCGTTGTGTTGGTAGATTTACTTAAGGTTTATTGCCTATAAGGCTTAGATTTAATTTATCTTTAGAAAGTTTCACCTTTACTTTAGGGAGAAGACAACGAATAAGATCAAGCGATAAGATCTGGATGCAGGAGACTAGTGCTGTGTCTAGACTTGCAAAAGGAGAAGAAAAACTCGGTCCTTGTGTTCTTTAAAGCAAAAACATTTCCGCTGCTAATTTAGAATAATGAGGCTTGGAGAGGCTTGTGTTCTAGACTATCTTGATAATTGCTGCAGTTGGTCATTTGACTTTGGGGATGGAGACCTAGCCTTGGGTGAAAATTCAGATAGAACATAGAAAAGTTCTCCACACCGGCTTGCACATTGGAGGCACTCGAGGAGCTTTAACAAAATCCCGACGCCCGGGCGCCACTCCTGGAAATTCCGATTCAGTTAGTCTGGGCTGAGGTTGAGCCAATGACGTGCAGCCAAGGTTGAGAACAAGTGAGCTAGACTAATGACTGCACAGGTGGTTAAAGAACTCTTCAGTATCACGTGCAGTGCAAGTAGTTTGTGTCTAATGTTTCTTATTTATAAATTTCTTTTCAGTCTGGAGATGCAAATATCAAGTTCAAAGTATAAATATTCTTTATTTGCAAACTGACTGTAAATGATCCATATTGATGTGCATTTAAAGCTCTTTAGTTTCCATTGGCTCATATTTATAGGTGTATTTCTGTAAAAAAGCAGGCATTTTCTACAGTCGCATTTAGTGAGCCAAGTTAATACACGAAGATTTAAATAATAGTGCCATATTTTCCTATTAAACTTTTCATGAGAGTATTTTTGAATGGTTAACAAACATTACTTCCCAAAGTGCACCTGTGAAAACTATAATTACCATCGTTAGTTTCCTTAAGTACATATTCAGTATAAGTATTTAGCCCTTGTTCAGTGCTTCTCATCTTTAGAACTTAAACTGTTTCTAGATTTTACTCATTTGCTTGATTTGTACAGAACTCTCTTATTCCTACTTTTCAGCTCCATAGAACTGAGGTGTAGAGAAGCAGCCTGGTCGTGTAGGGCTTTGGAGACGCTGATGTGTGTGGAGTATTGGATTGTGAGGAAGGAGTTACTGGACGGCTAAGTGACTAGCAGGCTTTGCCCACATGCTCACTGGTACATGCTTACGAGTCATTCTAGACTGATTCTTTTGATCAGTCTTGCCCAAATGGTCTTCCCTGCACAGTCTTTGTCAATCTTGGCACCTTTACAGGGCTAGCAACTGATCAGCTTAACCCCAAATGACAGCTGGAATACTCCTGAGATTGGCTTACCAGAAAGCATGGACATCTACACCTCAATTTAAATTCTAGAGTTCTCATTTATGTAAAAATGTCCTACGATTTGTAAAATCATGCTCAAGTGCTTTCTCATAGCTCATAATCCCTTTCTTCCATTGAAGCGAGCAATAGCAGTACAGCGTCATGATTCACCAGCACTTGGAGCAGAGCTTTCTCTTGGGTGTTTTTCTGCCTGTAGAACTTTAAAGTGCTCCAGAGCCTGCGTTTGGGAACCTTCAAGTCCAGCTCCAGTGTGAGATTTATTTTGGTGTGCCTCGTCCTTGAGTGAGCCCCATCTCAGTCGCAGTTTGTGGGGCACGTAGACAGACGGGTGAGAAGTTTTCCTAAGTTAGACACAAGTGCCTGTACCATATTTTTGTTTATTGTTCACAGTTGGAACCCAAAACAGACAACAGCCCCCAATTTCCCTTATATGCTCCCAGCGAACTGCTGTCTCACGCAAGAGAAATAAAAAGAAAAAAGTGCCCCCAAAGACTGTTGAACCTCTTACTGTGAAACAGAAGCCCAGTGTGTTAGAAACTGAGAAGAAGACAGCAGTGGCCTCTGAGCAGTCTGGTCTCCAGGCGGCCAAGCACACCTCCACTGGGGAGAACCACGTCCTAGGATTTGGCATTGTTCTCGAATCGCCTTCCTCAGATGTAAGTTGATGTTTTCTGGCTCCTGACACTAATGTGATGTAATTTTCAGGAATTTTGTAGTATTAATGCACTTTCCCCTTTACTAGTTCTGCCCAAGACAACCAGAGAAACGTGCAGAATACATGTAGGAAAGAGGAAAAGGAAGACTATTAATAATTTCGTTGCCTAGAATATTCTCTTCTGAAAATCTTATGCCTTATTTATTTAAACATGTTTCCATTCTTTATCTCTGAAAGAAGAAGGGTGATGGTGTAAATAATCTGCTCACTAATTTCCTTAACATTTTTAATTTTGAAGTGGCCGTTTTCAATTTCCTCAGCGTAGAGAGCTAAAAGAACATAATTAAATCCTTTGTAGATGGACATAAATGAAAAGAACCTTACAGATAAGGTCACACCTTTCTAGAAACACAAACTAATAATAAAAAAGGAGCAGTAGTGCTAATTCTATTTTATAGATGCAAGCTACACTGCTAATTAGGTTGCAGTGCCATGCCATTTACTTCATGTAATGATAGGTTAACGCTCTGCAAAGGTTTTTCTATTTTAATATCATAGCGAGAATATCGTTGCAGTCTAAGATGACATCTAAGATATCTATCTGACTTGCCATTTTATATTCATATGACCACAAACTAATTTCTTTAATAATGTGCTAGACTTGCAACTGCATACTCTGTTTACAATATCTTTATCTAAGTACACTGATGCTGTGAACTCCAGCTTGTTAGGAGAGTTCCTAAAATACACGAAAATGAGGGATCTATTATTATCCGATTGCATAGGATGAGAATCCTGCTGAGAACTCCCACGGGCCTATATGGGATGGGAGTTTGGCCCTACCTTTTAAACTTTAAATAAGAAATAAATTGCTATTTTGAAAAAGCATTCCCTTTCAAATTGAAGAAAGACAATTTGCTAGCATGTATCCACACTGGGTCTTTAATAAAGGGAGGCGACAAAAATAACCATCTTGTGACTTTTTTAGACTAGAAAATCATTTGAACTTTTATCCAGTCCTTGGTGTTAAAAGGTTTTTGTTGGTTTTTTTTCATCTGTGAACACACACTGCAATTGTTAAGTTCTTCTAGACTAAAAACTTAATTTAAAAAAAATCGTTAGTGATGATAACACTCTACCCTGGACCAGTCACCTCGTTTGATGATATCTTATTGTTGCTGCGTAAATACTACTGTGGACCTAAAACCCACGTAGGTCACATATTTGGAAACAGAGGTAAATTATTCCACGGCACAAAGTACATTCAGGCCTACGCAGTTTTCATACTTTTATACTTTTCTTGAATTTTCTAAGCATTTTTTTTTTGATAGGCATTGATGTATCAGGAGCAATCATTTGAGCTGTATAAATCGTCTCCTAAATGAGTTGATCTAATGCTAATAGCTGAACTTTCTCCTTTTTTAATTTTTTTTCTTTTTTATGTGAGGAAGATCAGCCCTGAGCTAAGATCCATTGCCAATCCTCCTCTTTTTGCTGAGGAAGATTGGCCTTGGGCTAACATCCGTGCCCATCTTCCTCTACTTTATGTGGGATGCTGCCACAGCATGGCTTGACAAGCTGTGCGTCGGTCCACACCTGGGATCCGAACCTGTGAGCCCCGGCTGCTGCAGCGGAGCCTGTGAACTTAACCACTGCACCACTGGGCCGGCCCTCTCCTTTTTTAATTTTTAAGCTCCAAATCAGCTTCAGAGATAAATTGAGGAAGGTCTGATAAAGGCCTTATGTACATTAGTGAAATAGAATAGAATTTGTCTTATCTTTACCAACATCAATATTCTAATTTATATACTAAATAAAAATAATTTGCTTTTTATTCATAATTATTTTTACTAATAAGAACTATTAAATTTAATAAAGCAGATTCAGAATTATCCATGAAAACTCAATTAGGTGCTGATTATCTTTGAAGAATAATATGCTTCTAAAGAAAAGCAAAAGATATGGATATTATCTTTACATTATCCAGCTAATGTGCCATTTGATTGATCTACTCAACAAAAACTGTTAACTGCACCTAGAGGACCATGCAATGAGTCCCATCATTAGAAATTTTGCCCATGGAAAATGTACATAAGGCATTAATAAGGTCTGTGCGGTCCCGGGTCGGGGGGATCGACTCCCTTAGGTGATGGGACCATCAATGCTAAGGCATCCAAATTTAAGTGCCCTAATAGTCTTTTATTATTTCTTAGCCATGAACCTTTTAAAATTTAGTGGAAGTCCAGAGGAGAAAACAAAAAATATATAATAATCTTGTAGGAATTATTCTATAAAACGGATTGGAGAAAATATAATTGTATATATGGGAATTGTGTCTTTGAAGATGGGCTCTGAAAAGTATCCAGCATTGGGAAGACTAGGTCCAAAGTTGTAGGATTAGGCAAGTGGTCGGTCCAATGTTGCTAGAACAGCTTGTGGCCGGCATTGGTAGCAGATGATGATATAAAAGTAGAAGGGAGCTGGATCATGAGATCCCTAATATGTCATGTCAAGGCCGTTGGACTTTATCTTGTGGGCACTAGGGAGCCGTTGCAAGTTTCAAGTAGAGGAATAATCATACCTGTGTTTTAGAATGGAAACCGGAATAGCATTGTGGATAATAGATAGATGGAGAGAGGATACTAGAGATAAAAAGACCAGGAGGAAGATAGTTACAGTCAGCCAGGCAAGAGATTGGGAGGGTCTATACATGAGCAGTGAGCCTGAAGAGAAAGAGAAATGAGAAACTTTTAGGAAGTACCTACACCAAGGACTTGGTGACTCCACAGAAAGTAACCCCCAAATTTCTATTTTGGAAAACTACGGTTGGTTATTAGATGGAACTGACTTCTTTAACTGAGGTAGGGAAAGGCAGAGCAGAAGCAGGCCTTCAGTTCTAGATGGAAGTACAAGTAAGTTTAGTATCCTCAAGGTGTTCGTTAGGCATTTGGAGCAAGATAAGAGCCAGAAGCAATGAAAAAAGGACACATAAAACTCATGCTTTATTGCATTTTTAAATGTGAAAAAATTTACTGTAAATTTTTTAAAATTCACTATGTATTGTTATCTTTTTCACACTGTGACTTTTAGAGTCACCCAAATACAAATTTGTATGTCTATGCACAAGCCCGAACAGAAGGCCCATGTGGGGCTGTAGATCACTGCAGGGAGACCACTGGTCAAATCCTGCTCAAATGCGGAAAAACAGTGAGCTCTGATCAAAACCAATGTCAGTGTCAACATCTCTGAGTCTCATAAACACTGAATGACAGAGAGTATGTGGGAAAAGCTATTGCAGTGCCTGGCACATGAAAGGTCCTCAATGAATGTTATTTACTCTGCAAATGACAACATGTCTGCACTTGCGTTAAGCACAATGTACAAAATAAAGTTATGAAACTTGGGTTCTAGGACTTGTCTTTAATTAGAATTCTCCTCAATTTAACTCCCATCTTCTTGTTCTTTCCTTGTTACTCCTCTATGCACTCCCCCACCCCAAGACCCCAGTATCATTTCAACAACCCCCTCCTTCCACCCTGGCTTCTAAAGGGCAGGGACTGTATAATAATAATAATATTTGGGTGCTATCCTTTGCTAAATAATTTATCACACTTCATCCTCACTCTTTGAGGTATTATTATTGTCCTCATTTTATAGATGAGGAAACCATGGCATAAAGGGCTTAAGTAGCCTGCTCAAGTTCACACAGCCAGAAAGGTGGAGGAAGTTCTCCAAGCCGGGTCTTAGTGCCTTATCACTGAGTCTAAGACTCGGTGCCTGTCCTGACACAGTTCTGGTACGCAACCAACACTCAGTGACTGTCCAGGAGACGATTGTTACACGAAGGAGAACTGAAAAGGTAGACGACGGCTGTGTATTCTGTTTACTTGGCAGTTTCTTGGGGAGAACTTAGTGGTTAAGGGTGCAGGCTCTGAGGTCAGGCTGCCTGGGCCAGAAGCTCAGCTGTGTGACCCTGAGCACACGTACCTACCCTCGCCTCCCTCAGTTTTCTCTCTGTAAAATGGGGATAATAATAGTACTGACCTCAGAGTGGGCCCACTGGAAGAGTTAAATGAAGGATTCGATTATGTAAAGCACTTAGTACCTGGTACGTTTTAAGCACTCAGTAAAAATTGGTTCTTTTTTAAACTTTCGAGGTCCTAGCTAAGTACCTTTATGGGGATAAATATAAATATTTGTTAAGTAAACTTATATGTAGTATAAATGAACAAATGCACATGAACAAATAGTGTTTTACAAAGAGAGTGGCCAGAAATGTTTCTCTCTGGAGGCAGGATTATTTGACCCATTTTAAATTAGCACATTAAATAAAATTGAAACCTAAATTACACAGAAGCAAAAGCAGAAGCCCAAAACCAAATTTCAGATTTAAATACAATATTTAATTCTTTCTTCATGAGTTCACAACGCAATACTCTCCTAGTACTCAGACAAGACAGTTGTGAAATGTTTGGAGTTACTGTTTTTTCCTGTTGAGTACGCTGATTTGTGTTTTTCGGGCTGATTTGTGTTTTTCGGGCAGACGTACTTGGCTTAGGTTTGTTTCATTGTTGCTCCTTGTTTGGCTTGTTATTTGGCTTTGGTGAAGCACTGAGATCAGTTTTTTTAAAGTATTTTTAAATGTTTTAGAAAAACATAGAAAACGTTTTTCTGTTTGTTGTAGTTACTATGAATATTTTGAGTAATCCTAGATTACACAAAAGTTATTAGAAGATAAATCTGTGGACATCCATCAATTTAAGATAATTTTGTTAATGTTTACTTTGTCATTCTTGAAGTAAATAATTGAAAATGAATTGATGCTTTCAACATAAATAGCTTCTGAATTCAGAATCTGTCTTCTTAACTTCTTCTTAGCCCAATAAATAAAATAATCCACTGGGAACTAGTAAAGCAAATCAGTCAAGCAGGCGATATTTTAATTTATTCGTTGACTCTTTGAAATTAAGGCAGTATATGCTTGAGGGTGTAAGTTCTAGC